AAGGGGCAGGGCGCTGGGAAAACCCCAACTCAGCCTGGGGTTCAAAGAGTAGAAAAGCTACCCTAGTCCAAATGCTCGGAGGCCAGGTCAGGTCCGCCCGGGGGCTCCCAGCGCCATCACCGCGCAGGTGCCCGGAGGCCCCTCCGCGGAGCCGGCTGCCGCCCGGCCGCAATATTTAGTCTCCGAGGGACCGGGCGCTCCTGAAGAGCGGGAGGACGACGGAGCGGCGCCCGGTCCTGAAGCACAACAGGAATCCCAGGACCAAACCCATGTGACGCGGCCACGCCCCAACGCCCGGCGGGGGCCCTCTGCTGCCCAATCCCCGGATCCCTGGTTCTCATGGCAACCCTGAAGAACCCCTTGTTCCCTCCACTGCCTGCTCTCCTCCCCCACAGCCCCCCCGCCTGATGGGCAAGGACGCGCACACTGGCCACTCTCACGATGCCGAAAGCCCTCCATGTCTACCCGCTACGCCGCATTCGGAGCCGGGCGGGGGACATCGCGGCCGCGGCAAATCAGATATGCCGCCTGCACGAGCAACGTTCCACCTGCAGGGCCGGCCAGTTCCACTCTTCCAGGATCACTGTCGTCTCACCCCTCTCCCCAAAATGTCAGAGCAAGAACCAGGAAGGGAGAGGCTCTTTCTGGAAGCCACAGGCATAACGTTACTGAACATCGAGGACAAAGTAGGGTTCCATTTAAACTGAGAGTCAGCGAGGGAAAGAACAGATCCTATACATTACCAAGCATCTGCTATGTGCTAGTCACTTCACACACATACACACCCCACACCTCACACCCACACACACACCACACACCCCACACACACCACACCACACACATCCCACACACCCACCCCACTCACACACGTACATACACACCACACACATACACACCACACACACATACACCACACACACACATACTCCCCCCACCACACACACACGCACCACAGACATACCCACGAGCCTGAAACGATGGAAGCAAAACAGAGGGTTTGGAAATACTCACTGCCGTTTACAAGGCCACAGTAAGCAGTAAGATTTTCTACTCCCCTCTAGCAGACAACATGGCAGGAAAAGCTGGACGTTGTAGATGGCAGTAAGAACGTAACAATCAACAGTGGACAATGGATTCTGAAACTGAGATCCTATACTGCATTCACACACGCTAAGGGGCAGGGCGCTGGGAAAACCCCAACTCAGCCTGGGGTTCAAAGAGTAGAAAAGCTACCCTAGTCCAAATGCTCGGAGGCCAGGTCAGGTCCCTGAAGGGCACCGGAGGAGAAGGCTGGAGAAACTACAGATATGCACCCCAGAAAGGAGAGGCTCCATGGTGGTCATGACCACAAAATTCCAATGTTTAAGTCAATCAAACAAAAGCAGAATTAAGGCTGGTTCTGATAGCCAAGAGCAGAGTTTTCAACACAACATGAAGGGTAACACAAGGCTTTCTCACAGTCTGGCTGACCACACATGGCCCAGCTACTGCAAGAAACACTGAAGGTGTTAGCGCTTTTAACTCTAACTGCGCACCCCTCGGTGAAGATGTCACAGAGTGAACATCACAAGGCACAGAATGGGAGATGGAAGCACAGAATCGAACCCTGAGATTCGGGGAGAAACCAAAGCACGGAGAAATTACGTAACTCATCCAAAGTCCAGAGCAGGTTACTGACTGGGAGAACTCAGCGTTCCTTCCAGACTCCAGATATGAGGCTTTTCTGCGGTCTGACACAGTGGCTTCATCCACCTCTGCAGTCAACCTCGCAATGGTGGCTCCGGTGTTCCTCTGCCTCCCTGCCTGGCAGCTCCCAGCCTGGATGGTGAACTCCTTTGCCCGAACATCCCACGTACCCTGCGGTCTCCTGGGCTAGAACAACAGGTTGTGCGGGACAGAGGGATTCCCTGGCTCACTCCCCTCTTATTACAAAATGCCAGAGGTCCCAGCTCAAAGCAGCTGTTCTTGGATGTGGGAAGAGCAAGAAAGAAATGATCTAATGATGGACAAGGAACCTTGAAAAGCCAGACCTTCAATGAATGGCTGATGGGACACACATTTTGCTTTACTAGGACAACAAGAATAGAATCTTTGAAAAGGCATAAAAGCCAGTGGTCAAGAAGTAACTAACAGCAAAGGCAAAAGAGATGAAGGCTAAGCTGGAAAGTGGAGATGAAGCCTGATGATATACTCAGTGGAAGTCCAGAAAGTCTCAGGAATGAGAACTACCATTCACCTCTGGAAATGGCAAACATAGAGTCCAAACCAAAAAAATCAATTGGAAGTGTCAGGAAGAGCTCATTTACAAATGGGAGAGAAGAAATGATACAGAAAAAGTTTTTAAAAATTAATATCTACAAATGAGACAGATGTATCAACGAAATAAGAGTATTATGCCATTAAAAAAAGAATACTCACTATGAATGTCAATAATGTGTCAATAGTCAACTGTAACAAGTGTACAGGATTCCCAGTAGAGGGAGAGGCTGTGCGTGTGTGGGGCAGAGGGTATGGAGGAAGTCTCTGGACTTTCCCTTCAGTTTTGCTGTAAACCTAAAACTGCTCTAAAGTCTATTTTTAAAAAAGAATATACATATACATATAGAGAGAGAGAGAAAGAGAGAGAGAGAACCTAAGAAATTCAAAATGAAAATAGAAACAAAATCCAACAGAAAGGTTAAAAAAAGGACATATCCCAAAACCTAAAAACAACACAACAGACACAGACTATTAGATAAAAAATACAGAGAACCAATCCAGGTGGCTAAAAACCAAAAAACTGCCATCCTAGAAAGAGAGAAGAGAAAATGGAAGAAAAGAAATGAAAGAATTAATTCAAAAACATGTCCAGGACCAGAAAGATCTGAGATTCCAGCTTGAATGGGCCCTCAACATACCCCACACACAAAGTGTGGACCCAACAAGATGCATCTTCAAGGAACTTCAGAACAAAGGCACAGAGAATATCCCACAAGCATCCAGACATGACAAAATGAAAACAAACAAACAAAAAAAAAACAAAAAACCACTCTGGTATGCTTTCATATACAGAATTGAGAATCAGAAGAGCTTCTTTCTCAACCCCATTCTGCCTAAAGGCAATGGAAGCCTCTAAATTTTTTAGGGAAAACGATCTTTAATTTAGAAATCCATATTCAGACAAACTGTAAATTGTGAAAGTAGAAGATGGACATTTTCCCAGACAGACAAGGTCTCAAAAAGTTGACATCTTGTACACCACTTTTTGGAAGCTTCTATAGAAAGTACTCCATCAAATTTTGGAAATAAACCAAGAAGAAAAATCATGAGATCTAAGAGAAAGGCAAAGGCGCATTCCAGGGACAATGGAGAAGAAAGACTCCAAGATAACAGCTCTGCAGGGAGCCTCAGAGCAACCCAGCCTGCTGCACACAGAAAGGCACATGAGGAACTGCTTCCAAAGATAAAACTGCAGATCACCTTAGGCCTTGGAAAGGAGATTCACACAACTCTGTAAGTTTGGAGGGAAGAATGATAAGTACATTTTAAAAACTAGGTAAAAACAACTCCAGGAGAAAAAATGTCCTAGGAGAAAATCACAGTTATCACAGTATACTACATGGCTCAGCTATGAGCAGCATTAGCGGACCATCCCAACACTGCATACTGATGGAGCCGAATGGACCAGAAGAGACGATGGGGAGACGAGAAGAGTGAGTGTAGGGTGGGGATGAGGCAAAGGGCACCATCCTCACCTTCCACGGAGTTTGAAATCAAAGAATCACATGAAAAACGGGACTCTGGAGAGCAGGAGGAGGAAG